AAAACTATATGAAATACTAAAAACGGGAACATGTCTGCATTGATTTTTGTCATGAACTTAGCCGTTGTTTAAAGTCACTTAGAGAGGTCAAGGTCGAGAGCTTATTGAATCAAGTGTACATAAAACTAGATGTTTAACAACCTGTTAAAATACACCAAAATGCAGGAAATGGCATCTAATTTATTCAAAATTTTCAGGGAGAGGACCCCCAGACCCCCCCCCCCCCCACGAGTGTGTTCCTACTTCCCCACATTACAAATGCTTCTGACACCAATGGGCACCACGTTGCTAAACAAGTACACATATGGGATTCAAAGTGCACTCATTTTAACTCAGTCTTGGTGGTTTGCGTTAATCAGGTGCTGGTGGCCTGGGATGGTCTCAAATTCCCGGCCTGGATTGTATATGTTATTTTCCACTGCTGACAGAAATTAGTTGTGACTGTGTATGATAAATAAACAAAATATAACAATAATAGTCGGAAAAACTGATAAATACAGACTTGAAAGGGGACTTTTTAAATAGGGAAGTGGATGAATAAGGGGTCTGGGTTAAAGCCCCCAATGTTTCAAGACCCTAAAAATGCCCCTGCACTAAACACTAATGTAAAAAAATACGACTGTGGTGAGCAGATAGGTATAAATGAATACAGCAGCATAAGATAATCAGCAGCATGAGATCAGCAGCATGGGTAATCAGCAGCATAGATAAGTCACATATCACCAATTAAAGTGGCATTACATTGATTTTTCTTTTTTTGTCTTCTTTTTTTTCTCCTTAGATAGAGAACTTTACTACAGTAATTGGCTTTTATGTATGTGAATGTTCCTGTAAAGTGCCCTGAGACAACTTTGTTGTGATTTGGCACTATATAAATAAACTGAATTGAATTATTTTTCCCATACAGTGATTATCTTGTTAGGGCTTTATGAGTGATGTCAAAGCACATCACTAAGATATTCAGTTCAGAATTAATTCTCAAACTGTGAAAAAAAAGTGCTGATACGCAATGTGCCAATATAATAACTACTTCATATTTATTTTTTCACTAATTAGGTTAAAAAAATAGTATTTTACTGCACATTTTTTGACTTCAGTAGTTAACTAGCAAAGCTGCAGTGAGTTTCAGTCATTAGTTAAAGAATAAATTGGGTTAAATCAAAAGAACACTAAGTTTAACTAGGGCTGGGTACCTTTCTAAAAAAATCGGTATCGATACCGGTGTCGGTGTCGGTACCTTCACTTCGGTGTCAGTTCCTGGACGGTTCTTTTTTCGGTACCAATTTTGTAATTACTATTAATTCTAACAAGAATAAAATTACGTTACACATTACAGTACAAATTGTGAGTTTTATTTTTTAACTTTGGTATTTTTCTATTCCAAGCAGTTTTCTTACATAAAAACAAACAAATAATTTCCAGGTCAAAAGACCAGTTACAAACCAGTGACACGTCAGTGCCTAATGTTCGCTGCTACACACCTCAGACTGAGGAAGTCTCTTGGATGAGAGACGAAACGTTTCTAGATTTTTTTGCTTTGTTTTGTTTTTTTGAATGTCCAGAGGACCAGATTGAACTTTTTTGGATTTTTCTACCTGGATTATTGAGCATGCATCAGGATATTGAGAGATAAAGGTTTAACTGGTCAACAAAATCCTTTAAAGTTTAATTTACCTCCAACATGCAGCTCCACTGTAGAAAAAGGCAGCAAATTTTTAACAACAAAGTCTGATTGTCCTGTGGCCCCCACCTCGCTTTTCTTTTGTCCTCACATCTTGGTCAGAACCTCCTGTGAGGAGAACATGAACATAAACAGTGAACATTAGTGAACTGTTTAAGCAGCTGACTGGAAGGATGAGCAGTTTTACAAGCTAAGATTTATGTTACTGTCAATCTTTAGTTAGCTTCTGAGATTAGCTAGCTACGTAGATAAAATAAATTTACACACTAATATGTTAAAGTTAGCGTTACATGGATCATAATTTATTTCACCGCGATGTACGTGTTAAGCTGAAGTTACACTAACAAACGTAACTCACCAGCTGAAACTCACAGAGACGTCCTCGGAGTTCTTTGGTGAAGAGTCCGGTCGGGGAGATAATGAATCAGGACGTTCAGGCTCTCACAGGCTGACTTTAATGGTGAGAGGAGGAGGGGGGGGGGGGGGGTAATGAACTTTTCTCTCCTCGCAGAAAAACACGGAGCAACTTTCTGCAGCGCGTGTTGTCGAACGGCTTCGACAACACGCGCTGCACACGTGAACCCATCTGTGGGCGTCACCAGTACCATAGACATAATTATACATAGATTAGGTACGGCAGCTCTATACAGCTCTGGATGTAATCTGGGTGTAGTCTGTTTGTCATATGTCTGGTGTTTTGCCTGCCTGCATGCTGAAACCACGTGACACGTTACAGCCAATACCAAAACTTGACACCGAAAGAAGAGTGACGTTTCAATACATACACCGACCGGTGAAGTTCGGTCGGTGCCATAAAAGAACCTCGGTTCGGTACTCAGCCCTGAGTTTAACTCTCCTTCCTCTTTGTAGACTTTGTCTCAGACATAACACTCACTGTCTGCCTTTTTACTGTCCACATGTATAGAAGTGTCTCAGAAGTGATAATTCAACATGTCAGAACTCAATTCATATGGAAGACCCAACAAGAGTACTCAGGTTGTAGCTTTCTCCTCATAACAGTACAATATAGACTGCCTGGACAAAAAAAATTTGCCACCTGGATTTAACTAAGCAAATAGGTATGAGCCTCTTATTGGATAATTACTGCATGGGTGATTATCTTTCAGCTGCAACAAGTTATTTAACCCCAACTGGTGCAATGAGTTGCTTCTCATTTCTTAAACAACCATATCGAAAGACACATTGCGTGTTCGTGGAAAATATGTCAGTCTGTTTGAGAAGGGTCAAATCATTGGCATGCATCAAGCAGAGAAAACATCTAAGGAGATTGCAGAAACAACTAAAAGTGAGTTAAGAACTGTCCAACACATTATTAAAAACTGGATGGATAGTGGGGACCCATCGTCTTCGAGGCAGAAAAAAATCCTGAATGATCGTGATCATCGATCATTTAAACTTTGTTGAAATCATAGAAGAAAAACAACAGCAGCACTCAGGGCTATGTTTAATAGTGAAAGTAAGAGCATTTCCACACGCGCAATGTTAAGGGAACTCGAGGGATTGGGACTGAACAGCTGTGTAGCCTTAAGAAAACCGGTAATCAGTGTGGCTAACTGGAAAAATAGGCTTCAATTTGCTAGGGAGCATAAAGATTGGACTCTGGATAATGGAAGAAGGTCAGGTGGTCTGATGAGTCCAGATTTACCCTGTTCCAGTGTGATGGGCGTATCAGGGTAAGAAAAGAGGCAGGTGAAGTGATGCATCCATCATGCCTAGTGTCTAGTCATCAATGCAAGATCTTGGTGAAAAATTAATGCAACACTGGATGGAAATAGATCTTGTGACATTGCAGAAGCACATCGAAACAATGCCACAGTGAATGCATGTTATAATCAAAACTAAAGGTGGTCCACCTAAATATTAAATGGATGGTAATTGGACAGTACTTATATATTACCTTCTATCTTATTGAGATACTCAACGCTTTTCTAGTTCTAGAATTGCGCCGCTCAAGGTGGCTGCATGTTGGAGCAGCTCTGTTAATTTCATTCTGGGATTTTGCTTTTGGAAACATTAATTCCTCTTTTTCTGGATGTAAATCACATTTTTTTGGATAATTGTTTTCTCTGGTATCAGAAGCTGTGCAGCTGGAAGGATTTTTACTGAAATTTTTTTAGTTTTGGACATTTGTTATGATGCGTAACCATGGCATCAAGGCAGTTTTCTACAACAAACAGCAGCTGATTAACATCTCAAAAGCTCAAATAATATCTCAGCTACAGCCCCAAATCTCAAATGAGTTGAAAAGGATGTTCTGTGGAGGCATTCTCATCTACCTGCCGGCTGTGCTCGAGTGCCTGACCACTGAGATCCTGGAACTAGCAGGAAACATGGCTCATGACAGCAAAAGGACAGGATCGTCCCTCAGCACCTACAGTTGGCTGTCCACAGTGATGAGGAGCTTGGCAGACTGTTGGGAGGAGTGGCCATCACTCTGGGAGGAGTTCTGCCCAGCATTAGGGCGCTCCTACAGCCCAGGGGAACCGAGAGGCCACCCGAGTCTGGGTGGACTGATCTGACGGCATCTGCAGCCAGTTTCTTAGGATCCACTGTGGGATGGACCTTTACAAGAGATCCTTCCTGCCTACAACCATCAGTATCTGTAACGTCTCTTAATGAAATGAGGATAACAAGTTACAACAACAAATAATTTCCCTTTGGGATTAATAAAGTATTTTTGAATTGAATTTAATTGAATTTACACTACAATCTGTGCCTCATTTACTCATTCATACAGCACTCTACTAGATCTCTACAAAGCTAATTGAACAAATCATTCTAAAGAGACTAATCAGAGCTTTATCGCATTCATACACCAATGGGACACATATCGGAGGCAACTAGGGGTTCAACATCTTGCCCAGGGACACTTCGGCATGTGACTGCTGGTGGATTCAAACCCCCAACTCTTGCATTGGAGGATGACTGCTCTAACCACTCAGCCACAGCTGCCCCTTAGTGTGACCTTTCTTTTTTATGGCTACTTTATTTTAGCCAGCCAGTGTATGAACAGTAGTAACAAATTTTCTCCTTATTAGATTTTTCCTTTATATGAAAAAGTAACTAATTTCTTCAAAATAAGAGCAGTTCTTGCTTGTTTTGGTCTATGGTAAGATTTAAAATATGTAGTGTTCAAGCTGTCCTGAAGAGCAGGTTTCTACATTTTCAGAATAATCCCGAGTTTTAGTAAAGCCCCTCCAATGATCTATGACATTAATTTAGTACTTTCAGGTAATTTAACGTAAACTGTTACTTTATATGTCGATCCTTCTTTTTCTTCCATTGTTAACACATCTAGGTGTTTCTGAAAGCGCTTTTTGACTACGACTCTAAAAAAGACAGCACCATTCCGTGTAAGGAAGCAGGGCTGGAATTCAAGAAGGGCACCATCCTTCAGATACTGAGCCAAGAGGACGCCACTTGGTGGCAGGCCAAACATGAGGGTGGTGCCAACTCCTGTGCTGGCCTTATCCCATCCAAACAGTTCCAGGAGCGGTAAGAAACAAGTCTAAGCAGAACATCCTGTCCTGTCTACAGATTCATCCGAACAAGCCTGTTATAACTCACTAGGCTGCTGTCACAGAGGTTTTACTGTCTTTGTCTTTTCCATCCCCTTTGGCTTTATCATCACAGCCAAAAATACTTTGTAGTCTGGATACAGTGTCTGAACTAAAATGAGTAATGACAGAAAATGATAGTTCTGGTGCTGATCCACTTTGGACAGCAAACAAAAAGAGCATGTTCTCAACACTGAAACAGGTATTTTAGCGTAATTTAAAAACAAGAAAGGAAAAAATCCTCCATAAGTAATGCTGAAAAAGCTCCCTTTTTTCATTTCACCAGTCTCATCTGATGAAATGAAACTGGTAATCATATAAATGTTTTTTTTTGTAACTGAACAGTGTTTATTATTCCCATAACCATCATGAAAACTGGTAGTTTTATTGTTTTTTCCTTGTTTTTTCTGTCCTCCTTCATCCCTTTCTTTTTTCCAGGAGATTTGCATTGCAACAGCCTGTTTCAACTCTTCCAATCCAGCAGACCTTGAGCAGGCAATCATGTAAGTATTTGCTATTTGCTGGTTTTTACTTTTGAGCAGGTGCAACAAATGTTGATTAAAAAAATTATTTTAAAAACAGAGTGACCTATCTGCTCTGACTCCTTTTATCTCAAACCATAGCTATCATGTAGTTGTGCTCCGTTACGCTTATCATCAGAGGAAGTATTCTGTCTGGATTTTCTTGAATTATTAATTTTTGGTCTGATTTGTGTTGAAGTTATTGGTCTTTTGCCAGACTTTTTTCCCCCTGTCCCCATCATGTCAGTGTTGTTTAATTTATCTGGGAACAATAATGGCAGAAGGGCGAAGATTAACTTACTGGAAGCCCTTAGCCTTTGCATTATTCAGCCAAAACACCAGCTAGTTTACTGATCCCAGACAGCCTGATGATGGATTAATGGTATGGTATGGTATGGTATAAAGTTTATTCATTTTAAAAAAGTACAAAACAATTCCATAACAATATAAAAAAGGATACAAAAGATTTAAAATGAAAGGCAGCATAAAGAAGAAAAAATCTTATATCTGCCCCTTTTTTCAAACAATTATTTCAATCATAATAATTTTCAAGTAACAGAACAAAATGAATAACTATTTCTAATTTTTCTAATTCTAATACAAAACACACACTAAGCTACTTCATATATACTTTTTTAACAAACCAGCTTTGATCTTTTTCTTAAATGTACACATTGACTTGGCATTTTTAACATCACTCTCTAGACCATTCCACAATCCAATTCCTTGGATTGATGTATACCTTCCCTTCAAACTAGTTCTGAATTTTGGTTTGACAAATATCTCTATCCCCTTAAGATTATAACAACTTTGTCTTTTAACAAAATTTCTTTGGATATTTAATGGTAATGTGTTATTTTGTGCCCTATACATAACTGATAAAATACTGTAATCTACCAAATCGTGGAACTTCAACAACTTCAGTTGATAAAATAATGTGCTAATAAATAATGTGCTATGGATTAATGATCTGATACTAGACATTGATCTTATAAAGACTCAACACAGCTCTGTGGAGCTTAAATTGTAACGTAACCTAAGGTTGGTCAGACAGCAAAATCACATAGAAAACTCTTAATGAATTGTGAATACTAACTTTATATGTTAGTGTTGGATAAAAATATCTTCTATTCATCTTACTTACTCAAAGAAGCCACACTCGAGGACACAAGAAGATTTTTAAACAGTTTTACTTGCAAGTGCAGACTTTCAAAACAAGTTACACAGATGTACAGTAGTTTTATATGCATGGAGCCCAGTCACCAGAATCTGCCACGAGCAGCGTGCAAGAATTGTTTTTATAAAAAGCTTATCAGCTCCCGGCTCACAGGCAGACTGGTGACCTTGGCTATCCAGCTGCACATGAAGGATCAAAGCAGTTCTCATTCGGTTCTCTCAGAGAGAAAGGAACTCTGCTAACTCAAACACATGGTTTGTGGACAGTTAATATTCACAGCCATAGCCATAGTAGTTAAAAATGTCCATATACCTTGACCAAAATCCCCTGACAGTTACACCTAAAGAAATGAGATTATGAATAAATTAATTTAATGAATCAAATATTGATGATGATTTCATAATTATGACAGGGGACTTAAACCATGGTGCACAAGGACAAGAGCATTGATCGGGGTGATGTCACAAAGATAGTGGAGAATCCCCAGTTTCAGATGTCAGGCAATCAACGCAGCAGACCACATGCATAAAGGCCACCTTCAGTGCTTTTATCCATGTGAACTTAAATGAAGAAGATGTTCCTGGAGCCAAAATCAACATGGATTGTATTGATGGATGCAACAATACACAACTCAAGTATTGGCTACAATGCAGGGAACAAGCAGTGTCCAGCAATTGGGCCAAATTTATAAATATTACATGTGGCATTCCCGGTGTATCCGTGCTGATTTGTGCTCTTTTTCTTTGGACAAAAAGTTCATGGATGGTAGAAGATTTTGTGCATGATGCATGCCTTTGATTTGCCGTGCATTGCGTAATTGGTGGCAAGGTGAATGATTTTGCATCACTTCTTTTTTTCTCCGGAATTTGATCCGGCGACCTTCTGGCCGAGAGGCAACAGCGTTACCATCTGAGCCACCATGCCTCCCTTCTTTTACTCCATTTTTCAAACGTTACAATGTCCTTTAAAAATTGATAATTTTTATGTTATCTTATTACCACAATCAATGTTTGTCTTGAAAACAGAAAGGAAGTTTTCTGAATTGCTTTGCTAGTTTTAGATTCAAACCACTTTTAGACTGCTTTCAAACTTCTCCTGGTAGAAAATGCTAGGATGGTAATGGTATTTTTGGGATCTTTAGTGTTTTTAATATTACCCTGCCACATAGTCTCAAATCTGTGTTCAATTACAAACATTGTTGAACTACTACCTACTGCACCTGGCATATTACAACACAGACAGGCAGAGAAGAACCAAGTAACTTACATATGAAGCTCATCGGCATATCAGCCATCACTATTGCAAGTCCCGTAGCAACAATGCTTCTTAGACAACATTTTTCTGCTGTTTTTTTATCAGCACAAACCACGACTACAGCATTGTACTGTATTGTACTCAAACTACTGTTTGCCTGAGATCTGGGTACTTCCTGATGTCACATATTGCGTATAGAGATATTTTTAGTAACCCTGACTTGTGCTATTCAGAATAGTTTATGCACTATAATTTAAGGTCTGAAAAGAGATTCATACCCATGCTAACACAGCTATAAACCAGGTAAATAGACTGATTAGAGCAGGGTCACTTACAAGTCACTTACAAAAGGGGCCCAAAATTAGAACCTTTTTCAAACTAAGGGCCAATTTCAGAAACTACATGAACTCAAATCAGATACCCAACATCTTTTCTTGGTCACAGGTTCCTCAACAAGAGTTTGATTGGTCTCATTTGATGTTCTCTGTTGTTAAAGATTACTGTAAAAATTCAAGAGATAGAAGTATTTTTCATTTTACATATCATCTTAGGGGGCAGATAAGATAAACATGAGCCACATTTGAACCCCGGGCCTTGAGTTTGACGCATATGGATTAGAGAGATACATATCTGATGGAGGCTGCAAAAATCTCTACAGCACTGAAGATTCTTCACAAGAACAGTGTCTTCTATAATTCTCAAATGAAACAAGTTTTGTACAATCAGGACTATTCCAAGATCTGTTTGCCTGTCCACACTGAGCAATTGAGAAAGGGTTTTGGTGTGAGGGATGACCGAGAACCTGATGGTCACTTTGAGCTTGAACTATCCCATGTAGAGAAAGGACTAAATTCTAGAAGGATTGAATTCCAGACTGAAGGATTCCACCAGTTTGGGCTTTATTGTATGATATCTAGGTTCTCTTGGTGCTAAATACTTGAAAGCTGACTAATGTCCTTTTGTTTGAAGGAAACTATATTCTGTTCAACAACATTCCTACAGTGAAGCATGGCTGTGGTAACATCATGCTGTGGGGGTGATTTTCCAGCAGTATAATCAAAAAGATTGGTCGGGGCAGAGGGAAGGCTGAATAGAGCAAAATACATTGATAGTCAATATATATCCTCAATGTAAACCTGTTCCACAGAGCTCAGGGCCAGAGGTTCAAATTTGAACAAGTCAACGATCTAAAGCGAACAGAAAATAACAAGAGTGACTTGGGGATGACTCTGGGAAAACTGCTGCCCGCCTGGTCATGTAATGGATCTTGCAGAACATGACAGCAAACCGTCAATACAAACTTTAGTGTTCTAATTAATTTTTATCATTTCATTTTATTGTTGCAAAGTAAAACCACAACACAGAAATCATTTTCAGTAACAAAACAGCCTTTTTCTCATTCACTACAAGCTTGTTTAGGGAAAAAAATGTCAAATTCATTCAAACTTCTCCTTTCCTGTCTTCTTTAATCCTTCGCTCATTTTGTTTTATTTTTTGGCCTGCCTAAAATTTCTCTGAAATCTAGAGCATGTCCCTTTTTTCATTTTGTCTCTTCTAAACATACAAACCCTCAGTAAAATATTCTTTACTTCTCCGGTTTGTTCTCGTCACAGAGTTATGGTATGTGTAACTCTGCTCCCTCTGTGCACAGAAGGCAGGTGCAAAATGTAGTTGACTGCAGCCTCAACTAAAGGAGAAAAGGGTTCCTGCAAAACTTTTTTTTCTTAAAAGCAGACATGCTGAAAGTATTAGTTGTATTTGCTGCAGCATTGACAGGTTTGAGTGGTTATGTTGCTGAAAATAAATAAGCTCTGTTGGGTAATTATTTTCCAAAGTATTAGAACATTAGCACATTTGGTGGAAAGTGTCAACGTTTTGAGGGAGTGGCTCAAATAATTAAAGTGATAGGTGTGGGGAAAGCGGTTGGGATGAGAGTCAGCACCTCCAAACCTGAGGCCATGGTCCTCAGTCGGAAAAGGCTGATTGCTGTCTTCAGGTCGTGAGTGAGGTTCCGCCTCAAGTGGAGGAGTTCAACTATCTCACGGTTTTGTTCATGAGCAAGGGAATGGGGCATGAGATTGACCGACGGAGAGGTGCAGCGTCTGCAGTATTGAGGACTCTGTTCCAATCCATTGTGGTGAAGAGGGAGCTGAGCTGTAAGGCAAAGCTCTCTGTTTATCAGTCGGTCTACGTTCCTACCCTCACCTATGATCATGAGCTCTGGGTAGTGACTGAAAGAATGAGATTGCGGATACAGGTGGTTGAAATGAGTTTCCTCCGTAGGGTAGCTGGACTCTCCCTTAGATAAAAGATGAGAGGTTCAGTTGTCCGGGAGAGACTTGCAGTAGAACCGCTGGTCTTCCACATCAAAGGGAACCAGTTGAGGTGGTTTGGGCATCTGGTAAGGATGCTTATTGGGCACCTCCCTAGGAAGATGCTTCAGGCATGTCTGACTGGGAGGAGACCCCGGGAAAGACCCAGGACACAATGGAGAGACTAAGGCCCTATTTACACGGACACGATGGAGGGAAACGTAGGTTTATTCGTATGT